CACACACACACACACACACACACACACACACACACACATACAAACACACAAACTTGCATACACATGCATGAACTCCACAGTATGCACTTTTGTGTATACAAAGAGATTGAAAATATATTGAAAAATTCACAAAAGTAACAGAACTGGCTTACAAGGTATCCATGCGTTGCAATGTGGACTCCAGTCGATAAGCATCCTTTTCGAGCAACCAAATTTTCTTGTGCAGCTCGTCGCGTTTCCGTTGCAGCGTTGCGATCTCGGCTTCGACGATCAGCCTCTTTTCGTCCAGGCCTTGCAAATTTCGCCAGAACATCGCCAGCTGCACCACAAAGAACAGACCAATTGCGCCAATAATTTTAAAAAGAAGGCCTTCGTGCGGCGCCGGCATTGGCACAGCCACACTCCCACACAGACGAGTGTCCCTCTCAGGCCGTCATCCCTGAACAAGCCACAGAATGACAGAGTTAAAACAGAACAATCGAATCCAAGCACAACTGCGGTGAATTTGAAATCAACCATTCTACTGCTTCCAGACAGGCAAAATCCCCCGTTTTTATACATTTTCGCATATATGCAAATGCAAAAACGTATACTGTGAAGACCCCGGTGTGTGTGTATGTCTGGGTGAGTGGGTGGTGTGCATATGTTCGTGCGCGTGTATGTGTGTGCGTGTGTGTGTGTGCGTCTGCCCAAATATTTCAACTCGGCAATCAAGCAAGCCCCGGCGCTAAAATTTGCCTATGGGTCCCCCCAACCAAAAGCCAGCCCAGAATCGCGGTACCAACTTTCAAGCATGTTTCGGTCTCGCGTATGGTCGACGCAAAATTTTTGCCGAGAAAATCGCTAACTCGGGAATCAGAAAAGCTAAAAAGCTGGGATGTGTATGCTGCCCTGCGAGAATTTTTGGCGGGAAAACCGCTAACTGGAGAACCAGGAAAGCTGGGAGGCTGAAATCTTAAGGGCACAATTAACTTTCCTGTCCAAGCACTACATAGTTGCATAATTAACTTCCTGAACTTCAAGAACCAGTATATCACAAATTGTGGCTATCGGGACTACAAGCGATCTTACTGTGGCACGAAACATTACGAAAACGCATAATCGCACCGGCCAATGATTACTCAAGTGGAAGCGGGAGA